CACAACTACACGGTAATGTACGAGAGTATCCCCTCAACTTCACAGCTATGTACGAGATTATCACCACAACTACACGGTAATGTACGAGAGTATCCCCTCAACTTCACAGCTATGTACGAGATTATCACCACAACTACACGGTAATGTACGAGAGTATCCCCTCAGCTATGTACCTATTGCGTTAGTCACACGGCAAACTTCTTGTCGTCGAGTAACCTTATATACATTCAATGACACTCAAATATCAAATACAAAACTGAGTAGAAAATTGTTTTGATTTGTTCACACACTGTGGTTGAAAATAACGTACCTTATTAGACCTCTGGCATTTATTTTTAAATTGTTGAAGTTGGTCAATACCCTGTAGAAGTAGACTTTCCTCTGTCTGGAATGACTTTATAAATTTAACAAGACGAAGTCCAGGATACCCGAGAAGTCATTCCTATTCTTGGAATTGCTGTATAGAAATATAAAGATTTCGCGTCGGTAAGATCTACCGTGTATTTAGTTAGTATTACATGAATGTGTATTGTTCTGATGTCAGCTTAAGGTGTAAAGTCTAATTGTAGAACAGCAGACGGCTGTAAATGCTCTATTCCACACAATAGCACAGTGCATTTGATCTGTCCGTCCATGCACAATGTTTGTCTAATTATGTTTGAAAATATTGTTCCTTTAACGAACACAGATACGGACAATCACCATTATAAAAAATTCTGTGTCCCATCGTCTACTTTCCTCTGTAATAAATCTTCACACAGAGGAGGAAACAAAATTGGCTCCTGTTACTTGCATTAAAATACATTTATAGTCAAATGAAAAACTATGAGAGTTATGACTCGGTGCTTTGGTAGAGGTAGATACAGACAGGTGGTAGTTCTAGACACACGGTAAGTTCTAAACAGGTGGTAATTAAAGACAGGTAGTACATATAGACAGGTAGTACATATAGACAGGTAGTACATATAGATATTTGGTGGTTATAACCAGGTGGTAGATATATAAAGGTGGTACACCGAATCTACGATACATCCAGTATAAGGTACACCCATTATAAGACACACCCATTAAAAAAAACACCCAGTATAAGATACATCTAGTATGAAATACAGCTAGCATAAGAAACACCCAGTATAAGATACACCAATTGTTAGACACACCCAGTTTAAGATACTACCATTAAAAGATACACTCAGTATTAGACACACCCATTATAAAATACTCCCAGTAAATGATACACCCTGATAAGATACACCTGGTATAAGATACAGCTAGTATTAGATACACCTAGTATAATATACACCAAATAAATGACACACCAAGTATAAGATACACCTAGTATAAGATACACCTAGTATAAGATACACCTAGCACAAGAAACACCCAGTATAAGATACTCCAATTGTTAGACACACCCAGTATTAGACACACCCATTATAAAATACTCCCAGTAAATGACACACCCAGTAAAGGATACACCTAGTAAATGATACACCCAGTATAAGATACACCTAGTAAATGACACACCCAATATAAGATACACCTAGTAAATGATACATCCAGTATAAGATACACCTAGGAAACAATACACCAAGTATAAGGTACACCTAGCATAAAAAACACCCATTATAACATACACCAATTGTTAGACACACCCAGTTTAAGATACACTCAGTATTAGACACACCCTTTATAAAATACTCCCAGTAAATTATACACCCAGTAAAGGACACACCTGGTATAATTTACACCTAGTACAATACACACCCATTATAAAATACTCCCAGTAAATGACACACCCAGTATAAGATACACCCATTGAAGGACACACCCAGCATAAGATACACCCATTGAATGACACACCCAGTAAATGACATACCCAGTATAAGATACACCCATTGAATGACACACCCAGCATAAGATACACCCTGTAAATGACACACCCAGTATAAGATACACCCAGTAAATGACACACCCAGTATAAGATACACCCAGTAAATGGCACACCCAGTATAAGATACACCCTGTAAATGACACACCCAGTATAAGATACACCCTGTAAATGACACACCCAGTATAAGATACACCCATTAAATGACACACGTAGTATAAGATACACCCTGTAAATGACACACCCAGTATAAGATACACCAATTGAATGACACACCCAGTATAAGATACACCCAGTGAATGACCCACACAGTATCAGATACACCCAGTATAAGATACATCAATTGTTAGACACGCCCATTTTAAAATACTCCCAGTGAATGACACACCCATTATAAAATACTCGCAGTAAATGACACACCCAGTATAAGATACACCCAGTGAATGACACACCCAGTATTAGATACACCCAGTAAATGACACACCCAGTATAAGATACACCAATTGAATGACACACCCAGTATAAGATACACCCAGTTAATGACACACCCAGTATAAGATACACCCATTGAATGACACACCCAGTATAAGATACACCTAGTAAATGACACCCCCAGTATAAGATACACCCAGTGAATGACCCACACAGTATCAGATACACCCAGTATAAGATACATCAATTGTTAGACACACCCATTTTAAAATACTCCCAGTAAATGACACACCAAGTATAAGATACACACAGTATAAGATACATCAATTGTTAGACACGCCCATTTTAAAATACTCACAGTGAATGACACACCCATTTTAAAATACTCCCAGTAAATGACACACCAAGTATAAGATACACCCAGTAAATGACACACCAAGTATAAGATACACCCAGTAAAGGACACACCCAGTATAAGATACACCCATTGAATGACACACCCAGTATAAGATATACCTAGTAAATGACACACCAAGTATAAGATACACCCAGTGAATGACACACCCAGTATTAGATACACTTAGCATAAGAAACACCCAGTATAAGATACTCCAATTGTTAGACACACCCAGTAAATGACACACCCATTTTAAAATACTCTGAGTAAATGACACACCAAGTATAAGATACACCCAGTCAATGACACACCCAGTATTAGATACACCCAGTAAATGACACACCCATTTTAAAATACTCCCAGTAAATGACACACCAAGTATAAGATACACACAGTAAATGACACACCCAGTATAAGATACACCTGGTAAATGACACACCAAGTATAAGATACACCCAGTATAAGATACACCCAGTTAATGACACACCTAGTATAAGATACACCTAGTAAATGACACACCCAGTATAAGATACACCAGGTAAATGACACACCAAGTATAAGATACACCCACTATATGACACACCCAGTATAAGATACTCCTGGTAAATGACTCACCCAGTATAAGATACACCTGGCAAATGACACACCCAGTATAAGATACTCCAATTGTTAGACACACCAAGTAAATGACACACCCATTTTAAAATACTCCGAGTAAATGACACACCAAGTATAAGATACACCCAGTGAATGACACACCCAGTATTAGATACACTTAGCATAAGAAACACCCAGTATAAGATACACCCAGTGAATGACCCACACAGTATAAGATACACCCAGAATAAGATACATCAATTGTTAGACACACCCATTTTAAAATACTCCGAGTAAATGACACACCAAGTATAAGATACAACACCCAGTATAAGATACACCCAGATAATGACACACCCAGTATAAGATAACCCCAGTAAATGACACACCCAGTATCAGATATCCCTAGTAAATGACACACCCAGTAAATGACGCACCCAGTATAAGATACACCCAGTTAGTGACACACCTAGTATAAGATACACCCAGTATAAGATACAACCAGTTAATGACACACCCAGTATTAGAAACACTTAGCATAAGAAACACCCAGTATAAGATACACCCATTAAATGACACACGTAGCATAAGATACACCCAGTAAATCACACACCCACTACAAGATACACCAACTGAATGACACACCCAGTATAAGATAACCCCAGTAAATGACACACCCAGTACAAGATACACCTAGTAAATGACACCCCCAGTATAAGGTACACCTAGTATAAGATACACTCAGTATAAGATACACCTAGTAAATGACCCCCCCAGTATAAGGTACACCTAGTATAAGATACACACAGTATAAGATACACCTAGTAAATCACACACCCAGTATAAGATAAACCCAGTAAATAACACACCCAGTATAAGATACACCTGGTAAATGACACCCCCAGTATAAGATACACCCAGTAAACGACACACCCAGTATAAGATACACCAGGTAAATGACACACCAAGTATAAGATACACCAAGTATAAGATACACCCACTATATGACACACCCAGTATAAGATACTCCTGGTAAATGACTCACCCAGTATAAGATACACCTGGTAAATGACACACCAAGTATAAGATACACACAACCCAGTAAATGACATACCCAGTATAAGATACACCAATTGAACGACACACCCAGTATAAGATACACCAGGTAAATGACACACCAAGTATAAGATACACACAGTAAATGACACACCCAGTATACGATACACCCAGTAAATGACACACCAAGAATAAGATACACCTGGTAAATGACACCCCCAGTATAAGGTACACCTAGTATAAGATACACACAGTATAAGATACATCAATTGTTAGACACACCCATTTTAAAATACTCCCAGTAAATTACACACCAAGTATAAGATACACCAAGTATAAGATACACCCAGTAAAGGACACACCCAGTATAAGATACACCGGGTAAATGACACACCCAGTATAAGATGCACCTAGTAAATAACACACCCAGTATAAGATACACCCTGTAAATGACACACCCAGTATAAGATGCACCTAGTAAATAACACACCCAGTATAAGATATACCTGGTAAATGACACGCCCAGTAAAAGATATACCTGGTAAATGACACAACAAGTATAAGATACACCCAGCAAATGACACACCTAGTATAAGATACACCTAGTAAATGACCCCCCCAGTATAAGGTACACCTAGTATAAGATACACACAGTATAAGATACATCAATTGTTAGACACACCCATTTTAAAATACTCCCAGTAAATGACACACCAAGTTTAAGATACACACAGTAAATGACACACCCAGTATAAGATACACCTAGTAAATGACACCCCCAGTATAAGGTACACCTAGTATAAGATACACTCAGTATAAGATACACCTAGTAAATGATACATCTAGTAATGTGTTAGCCTTGGCCACATTTCTCTCATGTTTCCTAACTTACAATCGACTTTGGTTCAATGTTCAATCGGATATACATGTACAATGTATAATCTTTGAAGAAAACCATTTTCAGCATTTGCAATACTTATCCACATTTGAATATATAATACAAGGAATGCAACTTGTTCATGATAAGATTTATTTCCATAATTATATGAATACATGCACATTATCTGCAGATGATGGAAGACTAAGCTTACATACAACATTAGGCAAAAAGAGACCCAGAGGGCCTGTAATACTAACCAGGTTTTTTAAACAGTGCAATATTCATCATTGCAAGTAAAACACACTAATGGGAACAACATCCTTACTTTATGTAACATTAAATTCTCTGTTCCAAAGGATGTTTCATAGCAAATTTGGTTGAAAAACTATCAACCTGTCAGAGGGAGTAGATTTTTCATTAACCCTTTCACCCGTATGTAACTTTAATAAACTCTACTATGCATTGATCTGGATAGGTCCATTATGGTCTATAGTGGTGAAAGGGTTAAATAGTGAGGATCTCAATCATTTTCAAGTGGTTGAGCTGTACATCCCAACTTTCCTAACAGGGTAACTTCCTCTACAGTCTAGAATACAATGTAAAATATGAAGTATTTTTGATATACCCTCCCTATTTTCTGGTAGGTTAGTGGAAATAGGTATCCTTTTTCTTGGACTAATCACAACTTACTATTCCTCCTGACATTAGAGATGTGTTGTTCTTTGTATACAGACTTTTTTACCTTGTATAGATTACATGTAGTAATGAAAATATATACAAATATTCATATTTTTTTGCCAGTAAATGAATTTACACTATTCCTTGCATTGAGAGCATGTGAAATTACAACACATGTACACAAACACAGTGCATACAGTTTACAAAACATATATTTTGTACATATTATGAAAAGTTCTTTTTTAACAATCAATACAAATTTCTATGTGACGTTTCGATGACTATAGCTATTATGATATGTACACTGTCACCTTCATCAGACAAATGACCAGTGAAGCGTATGCACACAAAGGTGTAAAATGTGTACAAGTTGTCCACAAAAATCGAAGTCGTTTTGGCTACGCTGTATATTGTACATATTCTTTTACACAACATACCTGATATACACTGTACAACACATACCTGATATACACTGTACAACACATACCAGCTGATATACCCTTTACAACACATACCTGATATACACTGTACAACAACTACCTGATATACACTGTACAACACATACCTGATATACACTATACAACACATGCCAGCTGATATACCCTTTACAACACATACCTGATATACCCTTTACAACACATACCTGATCATACCTGATATACCGTTTACAACACATATCTGATATACACTGTACAAGTTCATGAATACAATCATACATACTTATCACAGGCTTCTGTGTCTTGCAGGATATTGTAGAGTAATTTTTAAGGTGTGCACTGCCGAGACAAGTTTTCCTCTGTTATGACTTAATACACAAGATACGGGCAGCTTTCCTGGGCATGTATCTTGAATAATTCATATCATAAAGTTAAAAATTACAAGGAAACAATTTAACGTTTAAAGGCAATGCATAATACCGGTCAACTTACCATTCTGACTAAAAGATCAAATAGGGCCAATGAAATACTCAGTAGAGGAGGGACTTTGTACGGCAGTTTGAATTACACACATACATTTGTACTACCGGTAGTTCATCTCTTTTATGCTTGCTTATACAGGTACATAAATGTATCCTTTGAATTACATCCACCACGTGAAAGCATAAACATGGAACACAGTCAAGTGATGATATTGGTATTAAGTATGAACACAAGATGGTAATACATGTAATAGCTAGAGGTAGTTGCTATCATATAGTATGAGAAATGAGCTTCCACTTCATATAATCTTAATCTTTATGTATTACGTCTATAAGTTTTCGTTTTTGTGAGGCTCTGAAGAGCTTGGAAGAAAAATTAGAGACGAAGTTTCAGAAATCAATTGAAACAGAAATAAGTTCAAGATCCTTTTATATCACAAAAGCAAGAATTTTGCAAACGTCTGTGAAAAAGCTGTTTTCTCCGACCATTGTTGTGTAATCAGCATTGTCATGTTGTCTCCATGTCTAATGTATTCAACGTGACATCACAATGCCATTATTAAGTGTATGATGTCATGGCTGTTGGCTTCATTGTGACATCATAGAGGGTGATGTTAAGTAGGTGATATGCAAAAATAGACATGAGTACATTCACTGTGTTCAAAGTCAGTTTAACCAAGATTACAGTTACTGATAAAATTTGGCTGTTACGTTTCCTATCAGGTGTATTCTGCATGATGATAAACTTTCTAATAACCTGGTATAGTAACATATTCTCGGCTCACATTTAAGTTCAAAGTGAGCATACATATATGTGTTTAGGAATGTTTACTTCTATGTCTATAAGAAATAATGTCACAATATCAAGCCACAATTTATCACAATTGGAGACGTCTGAGCACTGAGGGTAGGTAACCAAACATATAGCACTCGCATGCCCAGTACTCTAGTCTATGAGATTATTTCTCATGCTTGTCCGGGATCCTCACCATTCCTTCAGTGTATCAGGTTAGTAACATGGTGATGCTGATAGTACAGGATTTCCTCACCATGCCTACTCCACAATACACGAAAGCTGTATAATTCCATAAATAACTGATTTTCTGCTCATGACCACCTATGTATCTTGACCTGTTTTTCTGTGAGAGCAGCGACATAGTCATTTTGGTTGCTGCGAACTGCACAAATATCAACCACCACGCCACCTGTGTGAATTCTCTGGCTCATCTGGCTGGTTCCACAATCCCATACATGCATCTGTAAGTAAAAGCAATAACATCATACAGAAATACACAAATTTATACAGGCATACACATGTTACCTTGTAAAGGACATCATACAGGTATGTGCATGATTAAATGACCTTGTAAACAGACGGGGAAACTTGCGAAATGGAGAGGAAATAAACAAATAATAGATAAGTTCACTGTAAACATAACACAGTTTGATGTTTAAAAGATTAGACCAAGAGACACAAATATCGCTTTGTTATAGGCAAGCTTGTTTTACTGAATACTTCTTACCTTAACTAGATCTGTTAATTGATGCTGACAATATTTTGTTCAGGAAATTACAAAAGAAAAAGGCTTTGTACTCTGGAAGGCCTTAATTATTTACTTTTAATGATACGGATACTGTCAGTTGGTTTTGGTGTTTGGTGTGGTACACAGGTTAGCTGATATCATCAGATCAGATAAAGTGAAATAGGGAACTAAAACAAGCTTCCTCTCCTGATGTTGACAGGTTAGGGAGAACTGGTGAGTGGGACAGGAACCCCCGTCCCCCTGGTGTTGACTGATGTCATCAGGTTAGGGAGAACTGGTGAGTGGGACAGGAGCCCCCATCCCCTGGTGTTGACTGATATCATCAGGTTAGGGAGAACTGGTGAGTGGGACAGGAACCCCCATCCCCTGGTGTTGACTGATGTCATCAGGTTAGGGAGAACTAGTGAGTGGGACAGGAACCTCCGTCCCCTGTTGTCTACTGATGTCATCAGGTTGGGGAGAACTGGTGAGAGGGACAGGAACCTCTGTCCCCTGTTGTCGACTGATGTCATCAGGTTAGGTAGAACTGGTGAGTGGGACAGGAACCTCTGTCCCCTGTTGTCGACTGATGTCATCAGGTTAGGGAGAACTGGTGAGTGGGACAGGAACCCCCATCCCCTGTTGTCTACTGATGTCATCAGGTAAGGTAGACCTGGTGAGTGGGACAGGAACCTCTGTCCCCTGTTGTCTACTGATGTCATCAGGTGAGGAAGGACTGGTGAGTGGGATAGAGGAACCCCCATCCCCTGTTGTCAACTGATGTTGTCAGGTTTAGGAGAACTGGCGAGTGGGACAGAGGAACCCTCGTCCCCTGGTGTCGACTGATGTCATCAGGTTGGGGAGAACTGATGAGTGGGACAGAGGAACTCCCATCCCCTGTTGTTGACTGATGTCATCAGGTATAGGAGGACTAGTGAGTGGGGCAGGAACCCCTGTCCCCTGGTGTTGACTGGTGTCATCAGGTATAGGAGAACTAGTGAGTGGGGCAGGAACCCCGTCCCCTGGTGTTGACTGGTGTCATTAGGTTTGGCAGAAAAGTAACAGGAAAATTTTACTTACAGCAGAAGAGGCCTCCTCCCCGGCACATACAAGAAGTCTGCTGTTGTCCCCAGGATGGGGAAGGAGGAGTGAGTTAGACAACATAGCCTGGGTGCGTCCTCCATGGAAAGTTTGGATCACATTACAGGTACATACAAGGTCTGCCTCCATGTTGAGAGTGGCTGATGACATCTCACACATCTGTAGACCATGCAAAATCAACAGGTTTGTGTTTAACCAATAAATGTTCATTTTCTTGATTCTTTGGTCCGTTGTTTTTCAATACATATTTGGTATAACGGCAAAGAGTGACATCATTTACATTATATAATCTCCCATTATACTGTCATATTTACCTAATGAAATCACGATATATCTATAAAGCACAACAATAATTAAGGTTAAATATTATCTTCAGTCTTTCTAGTTTATTAGTTAACTATCAGGCCAGATGTACCCTAATGTACAATAAACAGATCTGTACTTGTTTCTCTTGTCAAAATGATAGAACACTACAGCCATCTTTACTGGTATAATTATTCTCAATTTCTTTCTTGGTAATAAAAGCATTACAAAATAGCAAGCAGTTCTTACCATTACCATTTTATGTTCAATAATGCATGACTTAATCTTCACAGTAATGATACTGTACGATTTTGTATACATACCTGATGTCGAGTTGTTGGGTACTTAGAATTTGGTTTGAAACTTGCTAGCAGGTTTCTGGTGGTGGGCTCAAAACACAGACTTGATAAAGTCCCTAAAACAGACACATCACAGACCGGGTCAACATACAGACTTGATAAAGTCCCTAAAACAAACACATCACAGACCTGGTCAACGTACAGACTTGATAAAGTCCCTAAAACAGACACATCACAGACCTGGTCAACATACAGGCTTGATAAAATCTCTAAAACAGACACTCACAGACCTGGTCAACATACAGACTTGATAAAGTCCCTAATACAGATACATCACATACCTGGTCAACATACGTACTTGATAAAATCTCTAAAACAGACACTCACAGACCTGGTCGACATACAGACTTGATAAAGTTCCTAAAACAAACAAAGCACAGACCTGGTCAACATACAGACTTGATAAAGTCCCTAAAACAAATAAATCACAGACCTGGTTAACATACAGACTTGATAAAGTCCCTAAAACAGACACTCACAGACCTGGTCAATGTACAGACTTGATAAAGTCCCTAAAACAAACACGTCACAGACCTGGTCAACATACAGACTAGATAAAGTCCCTAAAACAAACACATCACAGACCTGGTCGACATACAGACTTGATAAAATCCCTAAAACAAATACATCACATACCTGGTTAACATACAGACTTGATAAAATCTCTAAAACAGACACTCACAGACCTGGTCAACATACAGACTTGATAAAGTCCCTAAAACAAACACATCAAAGACCGGGTCAACATACAGACTTGATAAAATCCCTAAAACAAACACAACGCAGACCTGGTCAACGTACAGACTTGATAAAGTCCCTAAAACAAACACATCACAGACCTGGTCAACATACAGACTTGATAAAGGCCCTAAAACAAATAAATCACAGACCTGGTTAACATACAGACTTGATAAAATCTCTAAAACAGACACTCACAGACCTGGTCAACACACAGACTTGATAAAGTCCCTAATACAGATACATCACATACCTGGTCAACATACAGACTTGATAAAATCCCTAAAACAAACACATCACAGACCAGGTCAACGTACAGACTTGATAAAATCCCTAAAACAAACACAACGCAGACCTGGTCAACATACAGACTTGATAAAATCCCTAAAACAAACACAACACAGACCTGGTCAACATACAGACTTGAGAAAGTCCCTAAAACAAACACAACGCAGACCTGGTCAACATACAGACTTGATAAAGTCCCTAAAACAAACACATCACAGACCTGGTCAACATACAGACTTGGTAAAATCCCTAAAACAAACACATCACAGACCGGGTCAACATACAGACTTGATAAATTCCCTAAAACAAACACATCACAGACCTGGTCAACATACAGACTTGATAAAATCTCTAAAACAGGCACTCACAGACCTGGTCAACATACAGACTTGATAAAATCCCTAAAACAAACACATCACAGACCTGGTCAACATACAGACAAGATAAAATCCCTAAAACAAACACAACACAGACCTGGTCAACATACAGACTTGATAAAGTCCCTAAAACAAACACATCACAGACCTGGTCAACATACAGACTAGATAAAGTCCCTGAAACAAACACATCACAGACCTGGTCAACATACAGACTTGATAAAGTCCCTAAAACAAACACATCACAGACCTGTTCAACATACACACTTCATAAAGTCCCTAAAAAAACACATCACAGACCGGGTCAACATACAGACTTGATAAAATCCCTAAAACAAACACATCACAGACCTGGTCAACATACAGACTTGATAAAATCTCTAAAACAGGCACTCACAGACCTGGTCAACATACAGACTTGATAAAGTCCCTAAAACAGATATTCACAGACCTTGTCAACATACAACCTTGATAAAGTCCCTAAAACAAACACAACACAGACCTGGTCAATGTACAGACTTGATAAAGTCCCTTATACAAACACATCACAGGTCTCATACAAGTTGCCCTTGATGCCAGGGGTGAATCTGTGCCTACATCTCGCCAGGGTTCAAACAGTGTAGAGAGTGTTTACATTTCTCTCATATAGGGTGATCACAGGTTAGCTATGAGGAATAAATCATCCTTTTTTGAAAGTGAGTTAAAGACCTACTCACCGTCCAAGGGCAGCATATGTAATCTGTACTGATCATCTGCTCTGTGCTCATAGAAACTGACCTGGGCCAACTGACCCACTAGAATACCCCCCGGTCTGAAATAAAAAGTAAAGTGTAAATGATTACTATATAACTCCTAGAATACACAGTAAACAGAGTCTAAATGATCACTATATAAGTCCTAATATAGTAAATTCGTTTGTAATGACATATGATCAAATTGAATGTTTTATAACTTCTTTTTATTCCGCAGACAAATAGCAAAATCTAGCTTTGATTATTTTCAAAACGTGTCAGCCAAGTACAAAATAATCATAGAATACCAAAAAAAGGTCTCTCTGAATTATTGGATGAAAATGACAATGTCAGTGATTGAAAATAGGAAATCAAAGAGATTTATCATGTCAGTGTGGGCCCAGTGTTTTATTATCTAAGTGTGTGCCCAGTGATTTATCTCTGGGTTGAACTACCTGAAGATTGCCTGTGGATCCCTAGGGATGTACTCCAGGGACACGACTGGTGACCTGTGACCTTCTGTGTTCAGTTCCCGGAGATGTTGTGCAGTGTTCCTGATATCAAACTCCAGGACAGTGCCGTTACTCTGACCGGAGAAGAAGTAGTTCCGGTCATCCGTGTTCCACACACAGCTCCACACCGGCTGTGGCGTCTCGTACCTAACATTATAAGGTTGTTCAACATCATAATTACCTCTAACTGATAAAATCAGTGAAGAATGCTCATGTTAATTTGTACTTCAATAATCTGGTAAACAAAAAACAACTTCTGGATTCCAATACATAGTCAATAAATCTCAAAGCCCAAATACGTATATGCCAGGGATGAAATAGATATTCACACAGAATAACTTAAAGGGCAAAAATTTTCTTGTTTGATAATAAAACAATATTTAAATACATTGTAATTTCTCCCATTACCACTGCTTCCACACTATTTTCGATGGTAAACTTTTGATTGTAGTCAACAATGTTACTGCCCACACTTGTCATTTTGAAGGTAAACTTATGATTGTACTACAGTGTCACTGATCATGCTTATCACTTGATGGTATTTTTGTTTTGAACTTACGATTGTACAACAGCATTACTAATGACGCTTGTCATTTTGACAGTTTTGTCCATGGAAGCACTTAGCAGCATGCCATCATCCACCAAAGGATGAAAACAAACGTCACGGATGGCTTTGGTGTGGAGCGTCAAATACTGGCACGTCTTAAAATCCATCATACTGACCTGAGAAAACAGAGTTGAAAGTGAGAGAAACAATTTACAAAGTGAAACAAAGAGTTTACAGACAAAAGGAGACAAAGAATTAACAGACAAATGGAGAGAAACAATTTACAAAGTGAAACAAAGAGTTTACAGACAAAAGGAGACAAAGAATTAACAGACAAAGGGAGAGAAACAATGTACAGACAAAGTGAGACAAACAGTGTTCAGACAAAGGGAGACAAACAGTGTACAGACAAAGTGAGGGAAACAGTGTACAGATAAAGTGAGGGAAACAGTGTACAGATAAAGTGAGAGAAACAATTTACAAAGTGAAACAAAGAGTTTACAGACAAAAGGAGACAAAGAATTAACAAAAAAATTAACAGACAAAGGGAGAGAACAATGTACAGACAAAGTGAGACAAACAGTGTACAGACAAAGTGAGACAAACAGTGTTCAGACAAAGGGAGACAAACAGTGTACAGACAAAGGGAGACAAACAGTGTACAGACAAAGTGAGACAAACAATTTACAAAGTAAGACAAACATCTGACCATTGGGCAATGACTTTTATTGGTTGGCCTGGTGTTCAAAGAACTGACCATTGAGCCATGACCTGAAATGTCTGGCCAGTTGGTGTACAAACATCTGACCATTGGACATGATGGCCTGTATTCAGTGTATTGGCTGGCCTGGTGTACAAAGATCTGACCATTGGGCCATGACCTGAAATGGCTGGCCAGCTGATGTTTAAAGATCTGACCATTGGGCCATGACCTGTAATAGCTTGCCAACTGGTGTACAAATATCTGACCATTGGGCCATGACCTGTAATGGCTGGTCTGGTGTAAAATATCTGACCATTGGGCCAGGACCTTACCTGTAATTGCTGGCATTGTATGCAAATATTTGACCATTGGGCCATGACTTTACCTGTAATGGCTATACTGGTGTAGAAATATCTGACCAAGGCTGACCAGCTGGTGTTTAAAGATCTAACTAGGCTGACCAGTCAGTGTTGAAAGATCTAACCATTAGGATATACCTGTAATAGCTGGTCAGTTGGTGTACAAAGATCTGACCATTGGGCAATGACCTGTAACAGCTGGCCAAGCTTTAAAATACCTGAGTATATAAACAAGGACAAACCAACCTTTTTTATGCCAAACCCTGGGAATAATGGACTGGCGGAGGGCTGGGACACAACCAGTGTTGCTAGAGATGAGCTATAGTCCATCACACGACAGTTTCCTGCCTGAAAACAACAGAATTCATTTTGCTTTCATTCCACATGAAAATAAGGGCCAAAGGTAAGCTTCATATTTTGATCATGCTGGATAACCTTATATATAGGTATAGGTCTTATACAACATCTTTAGTAGGTGTTCATTTGATATTTTTGTAATTATCATTTGGTAAGCTCTTTTAAAACATTTTCTCTGAAGATAATTTGATAAATTAATGCAGCCATACAACAAAAGTTTTAACCAGCTCCATATATAACAAAACAAATATTAAAAACGATAAAAACTACTGAGCACATTCACAGTGCAAGTAGGCAAGTGAATATGTACATCCCAACCATGCTCATAAAATATCCAGCTTGTTCCTTATTGATTTATCAGTTATTACCTCCCAAATCTTGATGGTTTTCTCCAGTATAAATTGACCATTAAGTCTGGCCTGGATCTGCTTTGTAGGACTGATCTGGGTCAGGGGCAAGCTGCTACTAGATGACTGAGACCTACAATAGAGTCAAGATTAATGATGACTGAGACCTACAATAGAGTCAAGGTTGTTGATGTCAGACTGATAAACCCTTAAGTGTAGGGACACACAAATTTCAGTCCAGTTTCAAGTTCATTTTTATTTATGTGTATATAATCATTCATAAAATTGTACCATTTTAATATACGTTTTAAAACATAGAACGCAGTTATGCCAAGCCAAATACAGTCTTGCTAGATACAAAATTTACATAGAGTAATTGTGTATTTGTAACAGCTTAGGAATTTGAGGGGGAAATACTGCCTTTGCGATATAACCTGGGGACCTACTCACTAGTTCAGCAAGGTCCAGTTTGGTCAGTAGCTGGATGGGTGACCGCCCACACGTTACATATCTTCAAGTTCAAAGACAACTCCTCCTGTACATTGAGTACAGCAGATTAGAAAGAACCATTTGTAACTTTGAAAAGTTCATAAACAAAACAAACTTACCTGTGTCATCTAAACTCGAAAAGTGTTCATATATTTCTGCAAACCTGAGGGATTCAACTGTTTGTGTGTTAATGTATGACACTGAAGCTCAGCTTGGATGACACAAGTACCTGAGAGGCTGCACTGTCTGTTTGGCTCTGTCTGACACATGTACCTGAGAGGCTGCTCTGTCTGTTTGGCTGTCTGACACACTGAGAGGCTGCACTGTCTGTTTGGCTCTGTCTGACACACATACCTGAGAGATCGTACTGTCTGTTTGACCATGTCTGACACACATACCTGAGAGGCTGCACTGTCTGTTTGGCTCTGTCTGACACATGTACCTGAGAGATCGTACTGTCTGTTTGACCATGTCTGACACACATACCTGAGAGATCGTACTGTCTGTTTGGCTCTGTCTGACACATGTACCTGAGAGATCGTACTGTCTGTTTGGCTCTGTCTGACACACATACCTGAGAGGGTGCACTGTCTGTTTGGCTCTGTCTGACACATGTACCTGAGAGGCTGCACTGTCTGTTTGGCTCTGTCTGACACACATACCTGAGAGACTGCACTGTCTGTTTGACTCTCTCTAGCTCGGCCTTCAGTCTGTTACACTCCTCTACAGACAGCTGAAACTGTAATCGTGTCTGAGCAGCCTCCATCTCGCACCGCCGCCGCGCTTCCTTTTCCTTTTCTAGGTCCTGCAGGGCACGGTCACGCTCTGATGTATCCATTGCCTGGGTAACAAAACAAACATGACAATCAAGAGATCATAACACATATTCTCAATAGCACAAGGTGTATATAAAGGATAGCGATGAATATTAAGACTGGTAGAAAAAAAAAACCCTCTAATTGCAGTCACATATTAATGGTATATTCCTAAGCTACAGTAAATACCTCAATATTTTCTCACCGACTTACATCACATTTGCACTACAGATTTTCATTCCATAATTTGATATTTCAACTTATTTCTGTGTGTCCTCTTGCAAACAAAAATCATTATAAAACACATTTTTTCAATGCAAAAAAGTCCATTTTGATTTGGTGAATAACAGAGATTTCAGTAGGATTGCCATTGTCTGTTGAGATCCTACCTTGATAGTCTTGGCATACAATAGTCTGATGTCCTGTCTCTTGGCCTTGGCATTACACTGGGGACACTTCCCTCCCTGACCCCTCAGCCATTTGTCTATACAACTACAGTACATAAAGTAAATGAGACATTAATTATAGAAATTATCACCAGTCATTTGATTTCAGCTTGAAAAATGTTTTAACAATGTTTAGACAGGTTATTTCAGGTTGATTTCTGTTTTACAAAATAAAGTTAATTATCAGGACTTCTAATAAGACTCCATTAGCAAATGGCTCCAACACTGTTAAGAGGCTCGATAAAGTTTTGTGTGTTCCTACCTTTGTCCAAACAAGTGCCCACAACGTAGGGAAGCTAGTCTGTGGGAACCAGATGTTGTCCACTCCTCAAAACAAATCGGGCAAGTCTACAACAAAGTTTAACAAATACACAGGTTAGCCAAATTTAATATTGCATTACCTACTTAAATCCTATCCTAGTGTACATTGCTTGGATTTTCCAGCTACACTGGGTGTTCACTTTATGTTCAATTCAAATTGTGTTATGTGTACAAATTGAACAAGACTGGTGGAAGACAAAATATATGTAAATACTCACAACACATCTTTTAGGACACACTGTGACACACAAATACTATAATTGTATTATGAAAAATGGACTTCCAAACTGTTAAAGTGTTTCCCATGTTACGCTCCAGTAAGTCCATCTTTACTGTACATCAAGCTTTTCATAGCAAGTGTTCAAGTTAAGCTCTATTATTGACAGATTATTACCTCCCTTGAATTGAAAGCAGAGGAATGATTATCAATGATATTCAATTGAATTAAATGACAAGCAAAATCAACTGTTGCTCAATAACTAGCTAGCATTTTTATCAGTTTTCATTGACAGGTTTTGATATGTTCCCACAACAAAAAGACTAGAAAGTCCAGAGACAAGAGTTTCATTCAGTGTACAGCACAGTGAGACATTTAAAACATAAATTATCCTGCATATAACATGGTATTATCTCTCGTCTGAAGCGTCCAATTACTTTGTTAGATCCAAAATTGAAGATTTATTGATATTTTAAAGGATTTTAGGGAGATTTACACATAAAATACAGTTCGGATATAGCTATCAAGATTTGAAAATAAATATATCACAATACTTCCAAAAAGGCAAACAAGAAGAAGAAAAAGAAGTAAAAATTCTAAAGGGATGTCCTTGTTAACCCAATACCTTCTAGACTACTTCCATTATTTTTATATCCAATTGTGAAGAAATTTGCTTTCTTGTGTTAATTATAATTTCTATTAACACTCAATCACATCCTGGCAGCAAGAGAATAAATTGTGGAAGCAATGTCAATGTCCGGTTTTGATTTTATAGGCTCAACTTATATTTCCGTTTCGGAAAAACAAGTTTTTCGATTGTAATGAACTACAGCTTGTATGTGGCTTGTAGTTGCTAAAATGAAATTCCCTAGTTGTTCAATCCCAAAAAATGAAAAATGCTGAATATAAAAGCTATGATTTTGTCAGAAAAATATTAATTCTGCTAATGAGAAAAGTACCTGATGTACAGTATTATATTGTATAATGTTAGCTTACATTTCCGTCGTCATCATCATCATCAGTACAAGTGGCAAGACCCACTCCACTTGTGGTCTCCGTTTCAGACGATTCCACTCTCCGTCGTTTGGGTGACCGGAAATCGGCTGGAGAGTCATGGCTGGTTGACAAAGTTCTTACAGCAGAAGTTCCAGGGATGGGGGTGTTGGAGGCGACATTTTGGGGGTCATGGGGTGCAAGACCTGGGGTTGCTGCACCAGAGGAGGGACCAGCCTGTTGTGTGTTGTCCTCTTGATCGGCAGGACTACCAGGCTGCAGTGTTTATCACAGACAAAAATTGTAGCACAATCAAATAAACTACATAGATACGTCAAGTCTGAAGAAGTGGACTGAAAGTATGCAATAACTGGCAAACAAGATGCAGCTTAATGTATTAAACGTCACAAATAAATTCTGATATAGGACCGACTCACTTCCTGTACACTGATTTTTCATAACACAAGACAGTCAGAAAAAATATTTTTCTTGACACTGATGAATTGTGACACAAGACCAAAAAACTTGATTCCCGTACCACAAAACAGTCAGAATACTTACCTTCAGGACATTGTGTTATTGTGACTTGATTGGAAATGTTTTTATTGTTCATATCAAAAATAGCCTTGCATTGCTTATATTGTATGCAGAGAACTCAAATAATTTCCTTTACTTCTGTTCATGATATAGTCTTCATCAGCAAGTCATATGAGAACCAACATCATCAGTCAGACGACAAGTGTGAATCTCACTGTGATTGATTTAAACATGATATCTCCGGGTACATTAAACAGAGAGAATTTCACTCAACTTTGGTGAAACTTGGATTTAAATACTGATAAGTTATTTTGAAACAACCTTAAAATCTTGATTATTTTAAATATTATTTTGACTTCAGATTATAATCCTAAATATTAATTACTTCATTTTCTGATGCAGTTTCCCCCTCTATTTCTACAACATCAGAATTTTCATCACTTCCGGACTCCACATCCACCACATCACTGCCACGGGAACTGTCATCAATGTCTACAACATCCTGCAGATAGAAAAAATACACTGATATCAGCTTACATTTACTTAATGTATAGAAATATTAAAAATCAGTTTCCGATTTTGGGAAAATAAAGATATCTTCAAAAAAAAAGATTTAACGAGATCATCTGATATTTTTTTTCCACATGTTTCCTAATGAAAAACATGGACTTAAACATATCCTTCTGGGCATTTCCCTTGTGAGACCATCAAATCTTAGCAGTATTCAGCTTATTACCCCTTTTTGTGGCTTCATCCTTTTAGCTAGATATAATCACTACAGTTTTTTTTATATAATATGGAGACTATAAAAGCAATAGCACATTCATACCAAAAACATTAAACAGGTTGTTAGGAAATTGTGGGATTTGAAAGGAACAGTATATGGTATTTCTAAAATAATTTCATAAAATATTCTTGAAAAATGAAAAGGATTACCTAGACTTCTAAGCTCATATTGTCAATAACTTGGTATTTATGTTACAGGAGAAAGAGAAATGCAAAGGCCAGGCCGAGGTTCGAACTTGGGACCTTCTGAACTCTAGACAGAAACTCTAACCAATTGAGCTACCTGGTCGCCGATGATCGACCCAGTCCAGTTCCGCCACATTCCACCCTCCTTCAACAAGTCTTCAATCCCGAAGACACAAGAGACTCTATACAACCTTCTATGGGTATATTTCGTTGAGTGCCAAATTTGTTACAGGAGAAAGGGAAATGCAACAGCCAGACCGAGGTTCAAACTCGGGACCTTCTGAACTCCAGAAGGACGTTCTAACCAATTGAGCTACTTGGTCGCGAATTATCGACCCAGTCCAGTTCCACTACAGTAAAGACACCCTCTATACAACAATTTTAATAAACTCTTACATTGATTTTCAGTAAAATATCCAATTAAACATGTAGTATCAAAATTTTAAATAAAATTGTATCGAGGAGTTCAAATTTGGCAATAACACACCTGATCTATTAATGGCTGTATTATTGCAACATTTTCATTATTTCCACTCGCATGTGGCACCAGAATATTTGCTTCTGGAATGATCAAGGATGGCAGTGGGGGTTCACTTCTTGACCCTGAAGATCCTTCTCTGTGTCGGAAGAAGTTATGAAGTGATCGGCCAAAGGTTAAGTTGGAGGACGTCCTCTGTGAGGATGGTTCAGTGAGGAAAGCTTGAGCAGTTGACGAGGACGGCTGGGAAGCTCCAGGTGAAGGAGGTAACACTATTAGTTCATCATCACTGTCATCAGACATGTCAGACCTCGAGGCAACGAAAAATCAGGAGGATGATTTAGTCACCTGAAAAAAGAATATATTATGAATTTTGGTGGAAACCTTTATACATGATATATCACTAGAGGACTTCAAGGCACACTTACCCTATGCAGCCCTTGAAGCCTCATCACATGCTAAAAACATACGTCAGCTTTTATCTTTCATCTATACCTTGCACAAAAAACCCCAACCTAATCACTGTAAATAACCCCCTTTTCAAGCCTCTGTAATAGAACCCCCGAGGACATAAACATCAACATTGATGGAGCCCCCGTAAAAAAAAGAAGAAAAGAAGAATGATACGAAGCCCGATCGAGGTTCAGCTCTTAAGTGTTATTTTCATGATTGCACTAGAAGTTAAATTAAAAAGAAATACTGTAGGAAGACTTTTTTTTGTTTTGCTGCTGAAGTGAAGGGCAGTAGGGTACGTTTAGAAATTCCAAAACATTCAAAAGAATCTATATCTACTTTGAGTGTGAAAAATTATCTCGGACTCCGTGTAAGATTACATTCGGTCACTTGAAACATAAAATATCATAGTTTATAGATCAATAATAAGACATTTGCAGACGATCTATGCGTTCCAATAAAAGAAAATCTACTATAAACTGGAACGTACATTGGATGTGACATTAATCAAACAACATTGGGGGAAATCATGGCTTGATTACATGTCATCGGCTTGAAATTAAACTACACAACTCTTTTTTCCCTCATTTCTCAAATTTTCCGCCATTCCTGTTACTTTCAGATACCTTTGCGTTTATGAACCATCAACAAAAATAAATCTAGAGAGTATCCGAATACGGGAAGGGAGGTCACTCTAAATGAGCAAACATGTGAGAGAGGTTGCAGGAGCGATGTTGCGGAGATTTAATTAACATTCGATTTATTATGATGTGGCGTACCAGCATGTTCCTCCTTAATATGCAATGTTGACCAATGGATAGTTGAGGTATATTAACTGTCTTCAATAGATTAGTACAACGCATTCTCATCACTAAAACACATAGTCTATGCAGTTCATCAAGTCTATGGTAACTGTAACACCAATTTTCTAGACTATTTGACATTTACAGTCTATCAACAAAAATGAATTAATGCATCCATTAAAACATGATATATTTATATGCAATTTTAGATATACCTGATTGCCTGTTGAATTTAGATGGCTGCACATGATGAAAGAAACTTCCGAACTTATTACTATGAAAAGTTTGGAATTGGAGGAGTGGATGAAAAGAAGTCACTGGAGATTCTTCTGAAAGAACAACCACTGAACATCGGAAAGCTGAGGCAGTTCTGTTTGAGATTTCAAGTTCCAGCCATGTACAGGATTCATTTGTGGAAAGTCATTTTAGGTAAAAGTATTTACGTCAGATATTGCTATAATTAACAAAATTACAATATTTCATTTTGTTATTTCTAAACATTTTCTTCAGGTTGGTAAGTATGGATTATGAAATGTTCTTTTAACACAACCAATAAGACTTTCTTCTATGTGACATTTCGAGAACTTGTATGATATGTACACTGTCACCTTCATCAGACAAATGACCATGGCCAGTGAAGCGTATGCACACAAAGGTGTAAAATGTGTACGAGTTGTCCATCAAATCGATGTTGATTTGGCTACACTCGAAGCGTATGTACAATAGTTGTTAGATATGTACCAAAATGACTCGATTCATCTACGCTTTGTTTAATACTTGGTCTGAGGGGGCTCAAAGACTCTCGCACATCTATGACATAGATATGGGAGTCTTTGATCCCCCTCATCTCGATTTAGAACTGACCCACTGCAGCATATCCAGAGGGCTTCCTTTATCTGCCACTTGAACAGATTGCTCTCTCTGTCCAAAACTTTGCAGTTATCCCAGTCAATCACATACTTTCTCTGTGTGGCATGGTCTGTGGCCAGTTCTATTCAGTATATTACCTGCTCAGGTATTATGAAAGCTTATTGGTATTTAACTAGCTAAACTTGGTATTACCAAAGTTAACTGGTATACTTTATAACCAGGTATTACCAAAGATAACTGGTATGTTGTCTCACCAGGTATTACCAAAGGTAACAAGTATATTGTCTGACCATGTATTACCAAAGTTGACTGGTATTTAACTAGCTAAACCTGGTATTACCAAAGCTAACTTGTATACTTTATAACTAGGTATTACCAAAGATAACTGGTATATTGCTTGACCAGGTATTACCAAAGATAACTGGTATATTGTCTGACCAGGTATTACCAAAGATAACTGGTATATTGTCTGACCAGGTATTACCAAAGATAACTGGGATATTGCCTGACCAGGTATTACCAAAGATAACAAGTATATTGTCTGACGAGGTATTACCAAAGATAACTGGTATATTGTCTGACCAGGTATTACCAAAGATAACTGGTATATTGTCTGACCAGGTATTACCGAAGATAGTTGGTACATTGTCTGACCAGGTATTACCAGAGATAGTTGGTACATTGTCTGACCAACTATTACCAGAGATAGTTGGTACATTGTCTGACCAGGTATTACCAAAGATAACTGGGATATTGCCTGACCAGGTATTACCTAAGGTAACTGGTATATTGCCTGACCAGGTATTACCAAAGATAACTGGTATATTACCTGACCATATGTTGAACATGTTAACTTGGACTGAGTTTGTAGTGAATTTTTTTGTGTGTATCCTTGTCTGAACAGGTATCACTCCAGCAAATCCCAAATCAACGGAATTTGTGATGAGTCAGCGTCGTCAGCAGTATGAAAATCTACACCATGCTCTCATGGTAATGAGGAGAATCAACAGTAACACTCCCCCGGGGGAAGTCTACACAAAGATGTATCTCCTACAAACTGGCATGTTGTCATTTGAGGATCATGATTTGGTATGTTGTATATTCAGGAAACAAATACAGTGTACTTTATTGGCCTACCCCTGCTGTTAAATCCTAACTTCATTAACAGAGCAAATGGACAATTAAGTAATAGGGGGAAGCATTTGCATTTTTTGTAAAGTGCACCCTCTGGTTGAATTTCCACATTCCCATGCATATGATAGACTATTTATCTCTGGTAAGTCTTTGATCATCTAAATACCAGTAATTGTAAGATGGTCTTGTTTTTCCATGGTCTTTATATTCTTGTCATAGGTATGTATAAAAGTGACAAAATATTGAATGTTATGTTACGATCATCATACTGTAATGAGACATTGTTTTCCTTAAAGAAAAATCCTGAGAACAAAGCTCTTGTTTCCATGGGAACATCAGTGAGCGGTATCGTGGAGGACGACGTGGATGGGTACTGGATCACCACAAAGTTTTACACACTGTTCAGCAAGTGTAAAGAGTCACTTCAAAAGTTGGTGAGTCCTATAATGCACGGTTGTATGATTTACATGTATTATCAATCACTGACCTTTTATTTTTTATACCAGGCTTAATAACGGATAAAAAACATCAGTCTGTCTGACAACTTTGATGACTTATACGGTTAAAGCTATCAAGTTGTCTCTCAGAGCTTTCAAAGCACCAAACAGTCTTTGACTGTTTATTTTTATATACATTCAAAATAGCCATCGTAGCTTGCTTTAAAAATGCTCTTTGTTATCTCTTTATGTAAATCTTTATCTCATGGGTCTTCAAAATTACTGATTAATTGTGAATAGGATAAAAAAAAATCAACGTAAAACAAATTTGATATTTAGGTTTAGTTGGTAGTTTATAAATAAGTAGCTAATTGAATTTGTTTTATGACATTAATGTAAATAATTACCTGTTATAAGAAGACAAAACGTTTATGTAAATGGTCGTATAGATCTGTATATTGTTTGCCCATAGCCAGAGAAGACAATTCAGTACCTGAAAAAGGAAGATACAGACCAGCGACTTGTCAACCACCTCAATAAACATGATGTCTGGGGTTGTCTACCCCTGGTCGACTGGTACAGGCGATGCTTCTCCAATGTTCTTCCTGATACCTCATTTGAAAGGTGCTGTTGCAAGTGTCTGAAATCATTTGTCTGCTTCCTTATCTTCTCCGTCCCCTGAGAAACACAGAAATCTTTGTCCACTTGATGCTGTGTTACACACTGTGCCTATGTGAGGTCAACACACCTTCTCCAGTATACATACATGCATGCACGCTTACACAACACACATGGAGGCACATCCTTAAATGACCTTAGCTGTTAATAAGACGTTAAACAAAATAAAACCAAACCTGTATGTGAGGTCAGTTCCTCAGGTTCAGTAATAACAGCATTCCGTTTAAGGTTGTCCAGATTTATGAAATAAATGAAGCTATAACATTTATACTTGTTATAAATTTCTTTGAAGGCCAAGCTATAAAATCCCAAGGTAGTGTGTTAATACTATATGTTAATTTTGTCACATCTCGTATATCTTCGTGAGCTCAATTTCATCAAACTTAACTCTAGAATTTGTTTGATTTTTAATATCAATACTCACAGTAAATATAATACATTACAGTAAGAAAATGTCTTGTTCTTACAGAGTCTGGGATAAAGTTATCGGAGGATCCTGTAGTATACTTATCTATGTGGCAGTATCTATATTCTTGACCTTCAAACGCCCCTTGTTGAGCATGAACAGTCGAGATGACATGGTGAATTATCTTCTTAAGGTAAGTAAATAAATTGATATTAAGTATTTATTTTTATCAAATTTTTGTCTGGGAATGTTTCCTCTTGTCAAATTACGTTACTAAAGCACTATCAGTTTGTGGTGTACCACTTTCAACTAGATTATTTATCTGAGTGTAATTGCTACTTTGTTGTTTACCATATTAATCCCTGTGTTCGTAGTAGTGTAAATGACCCCTGAAAGCAGTGAAAGTACCAGAGTATATTGTTGTTTACAGATCCCAGGGGATAGTGGTGATGTCCTTGTGATACAAGCTATAGAGCTTTGGCAGAAACATGGTGGACATATGATACAGACAAAGTCAGACTCGCCCGTCTTCGTGGACCGGTCACCTTCCTGACACAGCTTAAATGATCTCTTGTATTGATTTGAGAATTTTAAGAACTAATCATCGCTTTACTTATGCATGGTCAGAGTAAATTCTAAGGAATGTGTACACTGAGTTTGACAATTAACAAACCCGGATTGCGGTCTTTCCCAAAGGAATTGAGCATCATCATCTATAGAACATTTATGGAAGACATTCTTGTTACATGTTGTTACAGCTTCAGAGCCAAACAAGTTTTACTGGCAGTATACACTTGCCTGGTGAAGTGTAATGTTGCATCCTTAGAACACAAGGATAATTTTGGCTACCTAACTGGATTCACATAGACTGTGACATCCTGCTGGTTGAATAGTACTGATAAAGCTGTCATGATCACTGTACAAAATTTAGCAAAGTAAAAACAATGTTTGCATGATTTTAAAGGATGTTAAAGTTTTACAATAGAGTTTTTTATGCAAATGATTGTTTTATGAAACAATTAAAAGTTAAAGTTGGCATCAAAGTTCATTCCAGGGTGTATCCCAATTTTCAAATGAAAATGACAACTTTTCAAAGTATAAGGAACTCACTGTAATAATGATATATTTGGTAGAGGTGTGAGGAAAAGCTTTGAGTAATGTCTGGTACTTGTATCAGATCACTGAACACTTTTCATTTTACAAGACCTGGTCATGTATGTACTTTGTGATGAAGATTTGAATAAATTGTTGGAAATCGTTTCATTTGTGTAGGTTATTGTGTGTACCACATTTAAATTACCTATTGTCATCACTGTAGTAAAGTTACCTGGTTTCCATTACCCGTTATTCAATTTAAGGTCATAATGTGAAAAACTTTTCAGAAATTCCTGCTGAAGAATCTAAAGATCTAGACTCGTGACATTTGGCCAGTAGCTTACTTGTAGAGAGTGCTACAATGTTTGCAAAACCAATCTGAGTAAAATCATCTGTTACATGTCTCCGCCTGTTCAGGCGTAGTACGAAGTTAACAAAGCCATGTACCTGTTATTTGCACCGAAAAGTTACTTATGCCTACGTCCATAGGTCAATGTGTTAAAACTTCTTTTGAACCATGAGCCCCCCCCCCCCCCCCCCCCCCCCAACAAGTCACTGTATTTGTTCAGTAGCATTCTTGGGAAGGGCTATAGGTTATTTATTGAAATATAATACCTTGATCTTAAAAGGGCTTCTTCTTAAGATCCATACAGGCCTCGAGTAGCCAAATTTCCCCAATAGCTTGATGAACGAAAGGATATCATTGGAGTTTGAATAAATGACCTTAACCAACTATCCAAGTTGCAAGGGTCATGGGATGTGTTAAAATCTTTTAACAACTTTTAAAGACCCATAGCAATAACTTATTGTGGTGCCTTTGTGCAGAAGTCAAGAGTAGATCTGTCAAGAATTTCTGTATATTTCAGATTTCAACTCATCATTATTAACGCCCTTACACTCGGAGACGTGAATTTACGCGTCAATCTCAACGCCATGTAGTGTGAACACCCAGGTGTATAGTCCTGTTCATATCTAATTACATGGTACAACATTCATCTCAGTTGAGCAAGATTTATTGTTTCCAATAGCCAGAGTAGAGAATCATTTTTTAGTTAAATGTGTCACATTTCTTACAGCATGGTGTAGCTATATGGGGATATTGGTACCCACTGTCACCATTGACAGATATTGGAATGTTGTTGCTATACATGTACCAAAGTAAGTTCTTTCCTCTGTTCTGTTATTGAACAAGCACATGAATAATAAACAAATAAAATCATGCAAACCAAGTTACACCATGATCTTCCTTTGGCTTGTTCTACACTAGAATAGATTAATAGAATCTTCCCCTACCTTGAGGATGTGACAGAGAAATCTCCAACCCGAGGGGTGATGTTTTTGGTTGTCTAACCCGAGGGTTTGACAACGAAAAATATCACTCTGAGGGTTGGAGATTTCTCTGTTACACTGAAGTTAGGGGTTGATTATTTTTCTCCCATCTTATCATTTCAGTCACAACTTCATCGACAGTAAGTCTGTTTGTAATTATAAACAAAAACACATACTAGGTATGAATATCGTCATTCATTTTTGACGACGTCACAATTACCGTCGACGCATTTTAATGACGTCACAATTGAACACATGCTTATCGGCACGAAGCTATCTCCCCCTAGGGTATGAAGAGCTGATCTTTCCCGGCTAAAACGGGAGACTTAACTGTGAAGGGTGGGAGAAATTCTGATCCATTTCCAATTAGAGTTTACACAACTATCAAAAAAATGATCATACATACCAAGTTAAATAACAATTTAGAGTATTCTCCATCAAATAGTGACAACATGCATACAATGTTCCTTCATGATCCTATAAGTAATTTCCAAGAAATATTTATGACCATTTTGCTTTCCAAATCCTTCTCGGATTTGATGCTGGACCATGGACCAGTCCACAAACTTGTGCAGTTAAAATTTGATATATAACACTTTATGATGTGCAGTATCGGGCTATCCTTTCCTTTTTATCAGCAAACTCAAAAGGGAAATGTGGCATGGTGTTGTGTCCATATTTATCCACCTTTCTATGTTAATGTAGCAGAGTTTGTGTTGGGATGTGATGAATATTTGAAACACAAAGTTATCGAAGTACTTAAATTGGAGCAAAACAAACTAAAAGATATAAAACTGGTTGATCATACAATTGTTAGGAATACTGCCATATTTCTCAACAAAGTGCTTTTACATTTTGACATTTCATCAGAAACTATTGATTGGTTTACATTAGGGCTGTTCCAGAATTTACTGGATGTGAAATGTGGAAGGTTATTTTCAAAAGCTTATCCATCTTTCAAACATTTGAAACCAAATTAATATCTGGAATTAAACCTTTTACTCATCTATCAATACAGTTTGATTTATTGTGTTAGTCCCAGGAACAAGGGTTCATTGTTGAACAAGCATGTGCTGAAGAGCGATTTAATCATCCCCATCAGGTTTAAAATAATATTAAATATTATACCAAACCTGTTCAGTGCCAGAATTCTGGACATTCAAATTGTGAAAATAGAGCAACTTTTGAAAATGTTGTTAAATGATAAAAGGTTTATTATGATTAAATTCAGTAGTAAAATGAAAATCACTTTATTTTTATATTTCTTTGTTAAACTATGCCTGAAGTTTTAATTCCCAAATACGTTTTACTTGGGATTTTGCAGTTAAAAGGGATGACATTTCAATAGAAAAATCACTATTAAAGAATATTCAAATTTGAGAATTTGTCTACTCCAAATTAGCGTTAAAATTGATCTCCAACAAAAACAAAAGAGTACCGTGGGGCGGAATATACGCCCGTCAAATGCCAGTGTTATATACTTTCTTACATTGAAATAAGATCTGCATCATTCCAAGTGGTTAACTGACATGCTATAAATAAGAGGCCCAGAGGGCCTGTATCGCTCATCCGAATATGTTTAAAATAATTGATATGAAGTAACGATATAGCATTCCATGGTAGGTGCTATTAAGTAACTTCAAACTGAGCCCCACCCCTATGCCCCTAGGGGGGTATCATACAAAATTGAGTACCCTTGGCCCAAGGATGCTCCAGACTCAATTCCTCAATCTTAATTTAGTTGAAGGAGTTTAAAGGTTTTACCTCTATTTCTCCTATTGGGCCCCGCCCTTCTTCCCCCGGGAGACCACACCCACTGCTTATACAAAATTGAGTCCCCTTGGTCCAAGGATGCTCCAGACTAAATTGGGATGAAATCCCTTAATCCCTATGGTAGAAGGATTTTAAAGGTTTTACCTCTATTGGGCCCTGCCCCTCGGGTCCCAGGGTGCTCCACACAAAATCCTTTCATTCCTACAGAAGACGGATTTTAAAGAATTTGCTATATTTCCCCTATTGGGCCCTGTGCTCAGCCCCCATTATTATACAAAATTCGTTTATATCATGATGATAATGTATACCAAGTTTCAAAGAGATCCGTTGAAAAATGTAGGAGATTGCCAGACAAAAATCAAATACTGAAATGAACAAAGGGCAACAACTTTTGCAAAAATTGTTGAATCAAAATTCTTTCAATCAAGGGAGACAACTTCATATCATGGTATACAAAGCAAGTTTCGAAGAGATCCGTTGAAAAATGTAGGAGATTGCCGGACAAACCCATACCATAATACTCGCGTCATATTTGACAGGCGTATAATAAGGCGATTTACAAATGTACGTGTAATTGGTAACATATTCAAGCGATGAAATAGGTCTCCTTTATTTGAAACTCAATATCAAATAACTAAAACTTAGGTAAAAGCATTTCACGTTTAGGCCATATAAAATTAATTACTTGGTTCTCGGGCCAATTTTTTTCAAAATAGATGCGGCAGGGCGGTATTTTTTTCTCTCTTCATTTTACATGGCAAAAACGAGACAAGGGCGATTTTTTTTTATTGTGTAGTTTGTAAAACGTTCATTGTGGACATTACCTTGTCTCTTTATAGTTGTGTAGAGACCCATCTTAGAGCAAGCCTCCGAAATTCCCCCCCACTATGTTCCAGACGAGAATCACGAACCCCCCATTCCTTATTTGTATCGAAATAAGCCCCATTTGTACACAAGACTAATAAGTCAATCATTTTAACGCTTGTCTGTATCTCAATCCTTACCTTTATTCAAGAGTTTTCGTGACTTGGGTGACTAACGAGTAAAAACGACATGCGGACCAATTTTCCGTGTTTTTTTTTTAAAGAGGGCGGCTGCCGCATTCACGATTTGTTTTTAATTACTTTCACGATAAAATTGGCAATGCGCACGGTTCCATGAGATGCGCGCGGGCCTGAGAACCAAGTAATATATTTTTTTTAGCCTAAATTGATTTGTTTTTTTGCATCCCACTTAAGATATACACGCATCCATTAATTAAAACAAGAAACTATATAGCTGAAGACTGATTTATTCCACAGATGTTTAACAGGGAAGCTTTGGGTCGTAAAATTTGTATCGGTCACATCATATTCAATGTCTTGATTCTAAGTCTTTAACTTGTCTTTGCTGCCTTCTGGAAACTTTCTTTCACATCCAGATTTTTATTCTGATGCTGCCGGTAAATTTCTTGAAGATATTATTTATTCCAAATGTCAGAAGAGGCTGTGGTGTCCAATGATGTTGCAATTATAATAAATCAGTTTACATCTTCAGCTTCGTCCTCCTCCAGTGACGCCTCTTAGCATTGTACCTGAAAAGAAGACAAAACATTGTTCAATATTGACTCACATTAAAGCTTAAAATTTCTAATTCACAACTCCAGGAAAAATTGCAAATTCCTTTCTTCCTGACATTCACTGTGTCAAGTTACAAAACATTTAACACACTGTTTATATAATTAGGAGTCAAGGATCATGTAAAAACAGACAAACAAAAGGATGATTCCTATTTACCAGCCAAACCTCTTACGAAGGGGTATAAATATGTAATCATTAATTACCAAATTCATGTCACAAACTGTGGAGTCTTCTTTCGATACCAATCTATTCATACATAGAAATGATTTGGTGTATCATGAGAAGGAACCACAACACCCATACATATATATATAGCTGTCTCTTATAAAATAATCATATTTCATCTGAGCTAAATTGAGCTATGCATGGTTATAGGAATGACGAGGGTGTGGCAATCAACATATTGGTGTGTTAGATTGGTCATCATAGACCCTCGTCAGCCA